CATATATATATATATGTATATATATATATATTTATATATATATATATATAGATGTACTTACACTTGAATATGCTAAATCTTCATCACACCTCTTGTTTACACAATTTATGCCGACTCTTCTACCATATCGACTCTGTAGATTCATAAACAGCATCACAGGTAGGTCTCCATATTATCAATTTACATCCTTGTACATGCATCTGATTCTTTTTACCTTCTCGTGTCTGTCTCTGGTTGCCTGCATGCCCTTGGTGTACACACACAAGTGTTTCGTATACACTCTAACCTGTCACTATCATCCGTGTTTCTGTGCGTGTACCAGTTAATCTTTTGCGTGCACGCTCTTGTGACTGTACGTGTAGGTATGTAAACATCTCTCGAATATGCTATCCTCACTATACCACTATACCTACAAGGAGTGTCTAGCAAAACCCTCTACCAACAGCTTCAACCTGTACAAACACCCGGGAGAAGTGACGTTGTCTGTACACCCCCATCGTACCCGCCTATGCTTCTTCACCGTGCACACACAGCACACACCCCTCAGCTTTGGCATTCACCTGTGAAACTCAAAAATTCACACACCGTGTCGTAGTACCAACAGCCGTTCGCATTACACGTGTGTGTCATGTGCATGTGCATGTGCATGCTACATCATCTGTGGTAGTGTCACAGTAAGTACGTAGGTAGAGTCGCCTTTGTTTTGTGGGCATATGCTGGGGGTCGTGGACAGGGGAGCCATCCCTTGTGGGTGTGCTTGTGACTGACTGGACTGCATTGTTCGGACACTCGAATGGATGTATGGGTGCAGGTAAATCTAGTCTAATTGGCAAATTGGTTCCAAATTGCCAATTCTAGCTAGTGCAATCAGGTCAATGCGCCTATTTTTGAGTTTCTCCCGATTTTTTTTCCCTGTTTTATTTAGGTACGTTGGTACGATTGGGTTTGCCGCAGAGTTCGCTCATCCGGTAGAGCAGATCTTCGCTAATCAGGTCTGTGTGTATGTCCGGATGTATGTATACGCATTGTAGTACGTTAATTGCTTGTGTGTGTCTATTTCCGGATGTATGTATACGCATTGTAGTGCGTTAATTGCTTGTGTGTGTCTATTTCCGGATGTATGTATACGTATTGTAGTACTTTAATTGCTTGTGTGTGTGTATGTCCGGTTGTATGTATTTACATAAATATGGTAGTACGTCAATTGTTTGTTTCCAGATGTATGTACAAACTGTAGTACTTCAATTGCTTTGCCTCCCGAATGTGTCTTTATATGTATACATCCATTCTTCATTCTAATAATCAGGGTGCCAGTTCTATTTTGGGCATAGAAATATGTAGTGTGGCTGCCTGTAAGCGTTCGATGTATATATATTTATATATAGATAAATATAGATATATATACAGATATATAGATATATATATATATATATGCATAAGTATATGTCATAAGTATATGTGTATCAATATGTGTATGCAAATAGGTGAATATTAAATGTGCAGGTATATATGCATATATATATGTGTAAATATGTATATATATATATATATATGCAAAAGTATATGTATATTTATATATATACGCAAATATGTGAATATTAAATGAGCAGGTATATGTATATGTATATTTATGTGTATGTTAATATATATATATATATATAAACTGTTGGTGTGAGAGCTACTGTGATATCTGGAGTGTTTGTAGAAGATCACTTTGTGTCGGCACTATAAGTTTTGTTTTGTGGGGCTAATCAACGTCATAAGTTCATCGTTTTCGCGTAAAGGGACCTGTCTATCACCACCACATCATCCACTATTGTGTGTATATGTTTCTTGAGGTAAAAAACATATATCTGGGAATTTATCGTATCCACAGACACAAACATTGATACATATATAAATAGGTATATACTTACGATCACATACATACTTGTCCATTGAACGTTACTATCAGTAAACGTTGCATAGTGTCTATTCATGCTAACCCACGTTAATCTCCGCACCGTTTTAGCTTCCGACCGTGTTCTACTGTTTCATGTTTGGCGTGCACCCGCTTGTGTATTCTGTGTGGATTGCCTGGCGCATGTTGGAGACCTATGAGGCACATTCGGGATACTGTTTCAGTCAGTCTCGGCTTGGTCAGCTGGGCTTACTCAATGGGGGTCATGCAGGTATGTGTTCAACAGACACATGATGATATCAATGTGAAGCTTTGCTTACATGTGATTCTCACTGTGCACTGGTTTTTATCCGTCTATCCATGTTTGAAATTTGGGTGGCGTTTTATCGAGATGTGTGGTGATGGCTAGTGTAGCGTCCTGAGCCAGATGTAACAACTCGGATCGTGAGCTCAGTTATTTATTTTTTAATATCTTTCTATCCGCATACAGCCTTCCACGATTACCATCATACTATCAATACGGGCAACTACGGAGGTCCTTTGTTCGATGGTCTCTTCAAAAGTATGGACCAGTGGGTTAAAAATGGCGGTGAGAACGGCGTGTTCGAGACGGACTACGTCAAGGAAGCTGCGAAATCTGAATGAGCTCTGTATTGTACCGCATGACTTATCAGCAACACCCATTAAAGCCTACAGAGTGTTGCAGATATGCATGGGTATATGAATTATCAGGAATGGTTGGAAGGCAACGACATCGAGCTCTGATGTAATTTCTACTAGAGGTAACCATAGACGGACACGAGAAAAGTCGTGGGACTGGCGGTCGAGATTTAGTTCACACCTATATGTAGCTGCCATGCTGGGTGAAGTTGGTTTCAATAGACTTGCGCGTACAGTGTGACCGAGTATATTCTATCAGCTTTGAATGCACGTCCTAACAGCCCAGATTCCTACGCATAAGAAATGATAACTAAAAACATTCTGAGCGGAAGAGTGAGGTGGTGCCGGCAAGTAAATATCACAGATTCAAATTTCAAGCAGATACTCGATATGTAAAAGTTGCCCGAATCCTATATGGAACACGCTTGGCTCTGAATTCCGACTTCCCTCGTTGGTCTTAAGTGAGAGAGGGAGAGTGAAATAGACAATATGTAACAATACTCTATTTGCGAGAAGCCCATCGAAATCGAATTCGCACGGGGTAAATAGAAAATTAGAAATGTACAAGAAAGGCAAATTTTTATAATGATATCGATAACAGGTAAAGATCGAAGGACAGCAAGACCAAGTCAGCAACTCTTTGAAGAATAGGAAAATACCCAGTGCTGTTGAGACTGAGTTACTTGAGTGGCGCTTAAATACGGGTTGGGACTTGGCAGTTGACAGAGAAGAACAAACAGTGTCTCATAGCCACAGCCGATACCCTTCATATTATTATTTTTGTTCTACTTATAATGTCGTCATATGGTTCAATCAGATATTTATACTAAAAAGAATTTGTTTTCAGATCTAGACTCAAATGAGGCACGCGTACATTTCTAGGGTTTAGGCACTTTAGGGTTCGCTTTATTTCGAACACAATCTAGAAAGATTCAATCGACAATGTTCGACATCATCATCACATGTGGATAATGGATTCATCATGGATTCTGATTTCAGTAAGGGTGATGTCACTTTGAGGCTGATTGAGCACTGTCTGCATACTGCTAAGTACTCTGCTGTGCCTGTCAGACTCAGGGCTCAGGCTGTCACCCCAGCGGCCCAGCCCTTCGAACTAGTTATTAAATAAATAAAAATAAAATCTCTCTCTTTATTTACTATTTAGTACCTAAAATAGTTAAATACGCTTGTATATTTCATAGCCAAATACTGCATGTACTACTATATTATTATATTTAGTATTGAGTGTGTGGACACTGGTGAGACACTCCACAGTCCACACACACTGTCTATTCTCACTACTCTAGTAGCTACTAAGTAGCTAAATAAATACTAGCTCTCTCTCTCTACTAGTAGTCTCGTAGAGTTACATAATAGTAGTGTTAAATAATAGTATTTAGTAAATATTAGTGACGCTACAATCCACGCAACAACATGATTTTTTATAGAGAAACAAAAAGAAGTTCTGAAGTCTGATTCTTTGAACTTCTGAAGTCTGAATCAGGGTTCATTACGTTAAGCGAAAACACGTTTCAAAACATTGCGTTAGAGGTAAACGGGATACGTTTTCGTACGTTACATGACCTCGGCGATGAAGCCCGCCATTATATTGGCATATGCCACCCAACTTTATCTGCCAAAATATGGGCGACTACTTGATATATAAAATGATCTTTTCAGTTTTGGATCCAGTCCAATGCATATTTGTCATTTGTTGATCTAAATGGTGCAGTTCCTGAAAAATATTATTTTAAAATTGTCATTTTGGAAAAAACAAAATAAATACGGTATGCGTAAAAACTTTTATAATTGAGCTCGTTAACATAAAGCATAGTACGTTTTCAGCTACATAGCGTGTACGTTATGAGGCCTGGAGCCCTGGACTCTGAACTATGAAATTCTGAAGCGAACGAGAGGCTCTACGCTCTAGCAGAGCTAGTTCTAGTCGAATTCAGAGAGACTGCGCAATGGCCGCTGGCGAGAGAGAGAGAAGAACTGTGAAAGAGAACGACAGAATCCGGAAATAACCGGAATCGACTCTTTGTATTTATTTATAGAGAATTTTAATATTTAGAGAGATTCGACAGAAAGTGCTTATGCCTTGTAGGTCTCTTGGTTGGAAGTAAATATTTTGTTTTCAAATAACATATTTGTAAACTTGTTATTTGTTGGTGTTTTCAAAACACCAACCAATAAAAAGTCTTTCAGTTGGCTTACTAATTTCCAGAGATTTTATTGTTTTTTTTTCAACAAAACCAATAATTATTGTTCCGATTTTATATTTAGAATATCCATTTGTAAAATTAAAATTTTAGATAATAAGCCCGAATTTTTATATATTTATATATATATTAAAAATACCTTCTTTGTTCAAAAAGAACAGCGGAATATTCAATACACAAAGTATAGCCTCCTAAATAGAACAGTAAAAAACTACAAATAGTTTAAAACAACCATTGATATATTTAATTTAAAATCAACTTGTTTGTTTTTATTAAAAAACAATTTAGAAGGCTATGGTATAAATAAAAGATGCTTTGTATGCATATATATTTTTGTTTTGAAAAACTACATTTGTTTTTATAAAAACCAAAAAGCAATTATATATTACATATATATAGAAAACAAATCGAGCGTTGCTTTATTTATACTTTAGTTTATATATAGTGCTTCTCAACTCTCAACTGCTCATGACTCAACCCTATTCAACCCGAGTCAACAGTTACCCAATCAGCTTTGAGCACAAAAGAAGAAACTGTAATATAAACTCAAAATTAGGTTTGTACAAATACAAAATAGTTTGAAGACGAATAATCGAAATAAAAATGTATTTACTCTTGTGTATACTTCAGGATGATTATGATACTGTTTTTTATACAATACCGAAATGAACGCTCTAAGCCAATGATACATCACTACGTACAAAAAAAATGATAGAAGTTTTTATTAATCCAATCAGATGAGCTGTATGTAGGCAGCTTTTTTTTCCTTTTCCAAAAACCGTTTATACCAATTTGAAAGGCCGATATCGAATGAAATATATTTTATTCTTGTCCTATTTACTCTCTTTATTGGTTTTTTACAGTATTGTTCAAGTTTAAAAAAATGTAATAATGTCATCTTTTTAAGAACCAGTGCTCACTACACGTGAAGTGAATTTTCGCATATTTGCGCCTTCTACGACTACTCTAGACTACTAGAGAGAGCCTCAATTTGTACTGTAGAGGGCCTCTAAAATACCAGTAGGCAAAGAATTGACTCAATTGAGTCAATTCACATTTAATAGGGCATAGGCCACGGCTGCGAATTCGCCGATTCGGTCTAAAATTTGTCGGAACCTGCTGTCACGTAGCCCGCGCTGCGTCACTCAATATAATTGTTCGCGAAACCTGGTCATGCTCACATCATCTATTTATATTTATATTTTAACTCAGCAGTGGTCTCCCGAGGTTGCTCGAATTCCTTTTCCGAGTCATCACTCATCGGTCTATCCTTTTTTTTTCTAACTTGAAAATACATATTGATGATTCCAAAATATTTACATATATAGACTAGATACCACCAATCTTGCTTCACAACCACTCTTGAATTATAACAATCTACAGTAAGCTTAAGTCCTATTAAATCACATCAAGATGATATTCTCTATAGTATCACGCATACCGGTCACAACCCGAACTACCACCACCACGATGTGCCGTACTAATCTTCCGCAATCACAGCAGTCTGCCTCCCTACACACGAGAAGTCCGCTTAAAGTATTAAGTGCTATCGAAGCCAACACAGCGACGAGGATACCCAAATCTTCCACAGGCGGTATAAAAGTGTTGAATTCGAGCTCAAAAAATACAGCGGCCACCGGAAGTACTACGATAGAAGTGGGGCAAACGACGAGGAATATGACTTGTACAACGCGATCGGGAAGTAAGACTCAACTTTCGGCTGGAAAAGCGAGGAAACCGTCGAAACCGTCGTATATGAGTTCCACGTATTTCGAAAATGAGAGAGTTGTTTTCGGCAACGACTTTTGAAGGAGAGGTGGCGTCGCACCATAATTATACTATGATCATATAACGAGATAGGTGAATTCATTATGACCCTCTGTGGGATAACATAGATCACGATAAAGAGCTTTGAAATAAACTGAAATAAGATTGAGCCTATCGCTTCTTCACGTAATACATATCAAAAGTACAGAATCAGAGACACTCGCCTTATTGGCCGAATGATCAGCATCTTTCTCAGTCTTGGAATTGTATTGATGGCATCAGCGGTCACACCTTCGACATGCGCTGATATGAGGAATATGTATAAAAATACAGTCAGTCAAGCTATTCTGTAATCGCCTCTCACACCACAGTGGAATTACGTTCCCACATTCATCGCCATGTACAGCAGCCTCGTATTGTGTCGGTTTATTCACAGTTCCACACTATGCAGAGAAACAAGCAAATAAATATACCTATCTGGAATTTAGTCGAAAAAAATATAATTTGTTCGTATCGATTTTGAATAATATGGACGAATCCTGTAATAATTATGTTACAATCGATCGCAGTATTGAACTGTGAGTATTGAGGTGCCGACTTGCGGTTTGTGTATCATATGTGTAAGCCACGACATGAACACAAGCTTCAGCTGGGCCGATAGCAAACGCCAACTTTAACCGTATCGTTATAGCGGCAACGATCTGTCTATGCCTATTCCTGCAATACAAGAAGGGCGATATTTCATGATCTTGATATGTCTCATTTACAGTTGAATGTCATACTGTTGGTGTCGTGGTGATTAGTCTAATATAAATCTCCAGGGCTTTGTTGATGATAACATAATGTTGGTCATCAGTTGATTATATTTTTTTAGAGCTTGGCCGATATAGTGTATACGATTATTATCTGCTAGTGAGGAATTCAAAAGACTATTGTTCAACATGAAAGCAATACCACGTCCGCCTGGGTTGACACCGAAAATACGGTATATCCAGCTCCAGTTTTCGTTCTAGTCACAACACATTCATATAGAGCGCCATATGCCTATAGTAAGCCGTAGATTCCTCATTCAATCACTACCAGCGAACCACAGAATTCGCAACCCGAAGCAATCTATGGCTGGAACAAGAGGACTCTCGTAAAAGTGCGTTCGATCGATAGATAGAGGTAGGTGTAAGGGCCTAGAGCCTAATAGATGAATTGAATAGCCTATCATTCAATTTGTAGACTAAATCACACATAGCTATCCGAATGAATATGTATCACATACAACATGATTTTAACATTTATACAAGTCTCTCTGAAGTTGATATAGAGGCATATGTGTACGCATATATATATAGGTAATGTATGTACGTATGTATACTTTTATGTATATCTATTTATATATATATATATATATTTATATATATATATATATACATATATGTATATATGTATATATGTATGTATTTATATATAAATAAATATATATGTATGCCTTTATATATATATATATACACTTATGTGTAAATATATACAAGTAATATATGTATGTATGTATACTTGTATATATATCAATATATATATATAAATATATATATATATATTATATTATATATATATTTATTAATATTATTATTATTATATATTGTTGTCTTATTATTGTATATTATTATAGTTATATTAT